CGTAGTTCCATTTCGGCTTGCGAGTATTGATTTTTTTACTTAACAATTTTCACTAAAAAACTGATAATTGGTCGTTCTGGTCAGGGAAATTTAAGATCATGAGTTTTTTTAACTTTTTGACTTGTTTGAGATGTGCTGTTTTTAGCGAGAAATGTCCACTGGGAGGTATCTGGACTTAGTACGATTTTTTGGTGGTTAATGCACTTTTCTTTTTATTGCATTAGCTCTGCGCCGCTGGAACTGAAGGATAAGAATGAGCAACATTTTAAGTAATTTAACTTTATTAGTAGTTTAGAGTAAAATGCTTTTACTAAATTTTTTGAGCTCGTGTGATCTGTTCTAAGACCTCTGAGCTGATAAATTTATAGAAATATAGTCTTTTGGAGTACTTTTTCAGGGAAGACACTGCTGTTTTGAATTAAAGCAGCTCAGTGTTTTTTGCCTTTTGCAACGCTGAAACTCAAAACTGCCAGATTTAATGCGCTTGAACTTCTTTTAATGGCTTTAAGGTCTTCATTGCTCTGCCGAAGATCTCGAGTTTTTTTTTTTTGCGTCGCGTTTCAAACTGTATCGGTTTACAACGATAAGGGTTACAGATGTACTCTCGCCTTTATCCTTATTGTAATGATTAGTCATTTGTTGGTGGCCGAAGCTTGATAGCGGTTATGAGGAATAATTGAGATCAATGGATGGTAAATAATTGATACCTTTCTTAGCCATGCTTGGCGCTCTCATTTCAGTGTACTCGTGCTCATCTAACATTTTCCAGTTATAATTTTTCTACATGTATTACGGAATTGTTTTGCTTATGTACATAATTTCTACGATAGATTTTCAAGAGAGATCCATGTCAGCAAAAAACATCTCGTATTTGAAAGTTGTTGGGAATGTATTTAAATTTTTTTTTCTTGCAAAACGTTTAGCAGTTTTTGAATAAATCGGTTTTCCCTCTTGGTGCTTTGCTTTGCTATGTAGTCTGTTGTTGAAATGCTTTTATAGTTTTCGGTCGTCTGTCAAAAATATGGAGAATTTCCTGATCACTTGAGGAGAACGCAATTTATGAAAATTGGAATTTTGCAGTGTGGATTGGGAAGCAGTGTTAAGCGTTCTGTGGATTTATCATCTGTCCTCAGATATTTTCACTTGTTCCTTCGGGGTTTGTTTCGTCTGTGTTGTCATAATTGTTGGCTAGTTTGTTTCGCAATTGTGTGTTGCTTTAAAGATTGATGAGGTATGTCCGCTGTCACTGTTCTGATTCAGGTTTTGCCATCAAATTTTTATGTACGTTTTTTACTCGTAATTCTGATCCTTGTAGTTTTGGTTGCAAAAGTTAGGCTATGCGGTTGGAGTCAGGAAACTACAGTTTGATTCTAGTATTGTAGTGCAACTCGTCATTGTTATTCGTTCTGTTGCTGCATGCTTGAGGAGTCTGATGGGATAGGTGATTTTATTTCTTTTTTTTTTTTGCAACTTTTTTTTGTTGGTAGTAGTTTACGTGGTAAAAGTGGCTAAAGTGACTGCTAATAGGTATTTTGAGATTCAGTCTTTTTGCCATTTTTTTAGAACAAATAATTAATAAAGGTTGGAACTAGACTGGATGACCGTTCGACAAGTCTCCAACCGAAGTCGAAGTCTGCAAACTTATTTGAGCTTCATTTGGAGTGTTAAAGTTTTTTAGCAAATAATTTTTGTTTGGGTTTTCGAGTAAGTCGGATGTTGCTTGATAGGGACAGTTTTGCTTCAGTCGCTTTGACGCCCGCATTTTTGGTGCCAGTTTCTACTTTCTTGAAGGCATTTTAGTTATGTGGACATATCTCTACCGACAGAAGTTTGCTTTCCTGTGGCTTTCGTCTTATGTTTATAATGTAGGATTTTTGCAGTTAAGTGTCACGTATTCTCATTTATGCATTTTTGATTTCGCGACCAGGCTCTTTAAATCTACGTGTCCCATAAAAATGCCTATAAAAATTGATGGCGAAGTTTGTCGACAGCACAAGGAAGTGGAATTACCGGGATGAGGCTACGACCTTGTTTGTTGGCACGCAAAAGAGTTAAAGGCGGGGTCGCTTAAGTTTCTCATTTTCCTGATAAGAGGTTTGGCGGATCAATGTAAATGGTACAATTTTGTTATGGTCGTGTTATTTGGATGTTCTTGTTGCGCAGTTGTTTCCTCAGAAATGAACGACGTTATGGCAACTGGGTTTCTGTACTGCTCTTGCAAACAGTGCTATTTCCGATCCTTGCCAACAAACTATTGCTCTTTATCGCGCTCGATACGTTTCTAGATACGCCTTCTTATCAGTCGGTGCACCAGCCCAATATATTCTGGTGTTTAAAACTTCAAAGAGTCCCAATTATACGCATATACCTGTAGGAGAAGGCTCTGGTGAAGAAGAGGGTGTCAACGGATTCCGTCTTTTGCTGTATTAGTACTGAACTAATCTCGAGCATCAAGTGGCGCCCAAACTCGCATCGTGTATCTTTTTATTCTACCGCTCTGTCAGTGAATTACTGATGGACTTTTCTCAACAGTATTTAGACTTTGCTTTACTAGGTCTGATTTATTTCTCACTTCTTTTGCAATGCTACCCAGCTACAGAGTGCCACCTTGGAATGTCTGAAGGGCGCTAGTTAGTCAGTTAGAAATACTAGTTCCTCGCGTTACATTTTAGTCGACTGACTATTCTGGGAGGCTTTTTATCAGCATTACAGGCTGGAATCCCAGCCTTTTACGGCCAAAACACTATGTCAAAGGTTCCTTTCTGCCTATCTCTTGTTTCTACAAATAGTTCTTTTGGAGCATGAAGGGTATTTTGAAGCATTGTTGTTAAGGGCTAATTACTGTTGTCCTAAATATTGTTTGGTAACTGGCTGAAATTATTTATAACGGCTCCCGATAAGAACAGAAACAATCGACGCAAATATTTCATCACCGTGAGTACAACTAGAGGAGGCTTGGTTTGCATATTGCTACGGAAAGGACAGCGCAAGAGCAACTCATTTTTCTTCTTTTTTATTCAAGAATTTTTAAAAACAACGTAAGCAGGACTTCTAACGTTTTTGCCTGAAGAGGAGTTCCTTATGCCGAGAACACGGAAAAATGAACGCTGCGGTATCTTTGTCCAGTTTTTTTATTTCTGTAACTTTTTTGAAGTATTTATTATTTTTTAGCACTGGTTCACAATATTTTTTCAGTTACTGGGGAATCAGATTTTTCAGTTTGTTACTTTGAAAACGTTTTTGTTGCTGTCACAGCTAGAGGTGCCTGGAGCTAATTTAGTCTGGTGGTCCCCATTTTTTTCTCCACCCCAGTAGGTGGAGCCTATGATGACGCCCCTTCCACTGGAGTGGGTACGGTGCCACCAGGCAACACAGGATGGTGCATCCCTCAGATACTGTGCCACGAGGCAACACAGGATGGTGCATCCCGCAGGAGCCTGAAACTGAACAGCACTCCGCTGCCCTGTCTACAAAAAACGTTTAATTACCCAAGTTTGAGATGAACTTGGAAGTGGTGGTAATAGGAGAAGTGCTTAGTTACTCAAGTTTGGGGTGGGGAGAGCTGACCAAAGTATAATTTCATGATGTGGAGGAAACGGAATTAGTGTGGCGCAACATATACTACTCGAGTCATTCGTGCAAGAAGTAGTGGTGTTGTGGGATATCGTCCGAAGGTTGGTATTTTGCGTCTGCCATGGAGAGAGGTATTTCTTGTGCGTCTTTTGAACATTTTAGAACACCATTTCTCAGCTTTATTTACCCGACTTGAGAGAAAATCTCGATTAGTGGCTCTCATATGAAAGGTGTCTCTGAAACTGAACTGCTTGCTGATCGATCAGGAGCTAATGAAGAAGGCTGACATTCTGACACAGAACCACGAGGCGGTGGATGGTGTTCCGCTGTTTGTGACCAAAGGTGGTGTAAAGTGTTGACCCGTATATTTTTTCTTATACGAATTCGTTCATATACGAATCTGAAAGCGCTTTCTTCTTCCCATACCGTGATTTATGGCCCTCTCTGAATTTTTGCTGCATAGATTGTATAGAGATGGTGTTTCTGTAGGCACCGGGCTCAGAATCACTGAAGTGGAAGCTGTAGTTAGTCTCTTGCTGATTTCTTTCTGCCGCATATTTGGTGGTACTATATACCGCCCACTCTTCAGACACTATAGTTGTTTCTGGAACAAGATACTGCCTGGTCAGTGGTAGAAGGGTTGCGGCGTTTTGTCTTTTCACTAGGACAATGAAACACTGATTAGTCTCTCGCCCAGTGCTCTCAAAACATTGTGATTTTTCTATTGCCTAACTCCTTGTATTTTCTTTTGGTGATTGTAGAAGGATACCTTTTGAAATGCTCCGTGCAGACATCTCTAAAAAGTTTATTTAATTAACAAAAGTACGGGGGCTAAACTTGCTACCAATTTAATAGATTTCAGAGTAGCAGGGTACAAAACCGAGACTGGTAGTGCTAAAGGATAAAACCCTGCTGCTTCGCCAGATTACCGTTACTATACGAATGTGAGCTATATATAACTAAGTGCAGGAACTGCGACATAGTTGCTGTTGTCCCCTTCCTCTTTGTTGCTGCCTCATTCACTGTCTTCTTTTTCAGTTTTCCCATTAAAAATCAAT